TTTCCCTATCTGCACACTTTCTCAAAATGTATTAGTAGATTTTACCTGCAAACACTGCCCAAAGCTCCTTTCCAAAACCGCTTTTAATGTCTTCCACTTTTGCTTCAACTTTTGTTTCCTGTTTAGGCCTAAACACGCTATTTTTTTTCTTCAGAACAATTACTCAGGACACTACTGCACACTGCTGGGACCTCCCATCTACTTCTTCCAAGTACTGTCTATCTTCTGATACAGAATTCTGCTCTTTCAAAATGTTCCTTTCCCATCCCTTGTCTCTGAGGAGTATTTTCTGCCCTTCCTGTGGGATCAGGACATCACACCTGACACCATTTTCCTAAAATTTTATTGAATTTCATTGATTCTCACAGCTTCAGGCATCACCACTGCGTCAGTGATTCTTAGGCCCAGCTGTGCACCCCTGAACCATTTCATTCAATTCCAATTCCACCTGCAGTTACTGTCTCCACCAGAGATTTAGATCTGGTTAAATTGGAGCTTGTTTCCTCCTAAGCTCTACTTCCTCTAATTACCTCCAGCCTTCCTACAGTTCAAGTCCATAACTACCACCTGATTCGTACAATGCTTTATGCACCACAGCTGTGCCCAGTAGTTGGATTTTTTTTGCATAAAATGTAAAAAATATTCATTACTCAGTCCTGACCTTTCTCTTGACCAGATCATTTGCTTACATCTTCATTAGCAAATTCTTCTGCTCACACTGTCACCCTTCTATCCTTCATATCCTGTAATATTTCAGCTGCTAAAAAAAAGTGCTTCCTTTATGCAGTACTTTGGAGACTCTGGATCTTCCAGTATTTCCACAGCCAGCAAGCCTACAAGCTACAGACTGCACAACTGCAGAACCTGCACTTCATTACTGGAAAGGAGAAGGAGGATAATCTTCAGACAATAATTTAACCAGCCCTTAGAAGAGCCTTGTAACAGAAGGATTTCCTCTGCATCTCATACACTTGTACTCAGGATACTGAAAACACACTGAGGGTTGGGCTAGGGCTGAATACTATCACCTCAACCTCTGCAAAAAATCACCTACAGAAAGGTATTATTATTATTATTAAGGTCATTCTAGCTTCTCATCTTACAAATTTATGAGAAAACACCCGTAGCTTGGAGTTTATTATAATACAGACTGCATAAAATTGAACTCCACAGCAGTCAGGGGAGGGAGAACCACAGCCAGTCTTGTGAAGTGAAATCCCATTTGTGCATGAAAGCCGGGAACTTGATGTTCTCGCTACAGACTACGAGCAATAAAAACAGCTTTCTGAGCCATTAATTTCTGCACAGCTGATTTCTACTGAACAATGCTCATTATTGAAAGAATCCTAAAAAAAACTCGAGGCTGTTCCAGCAAGAAGGCTGGCACTCTGAATATCTAGACTGAGCTAACGGTGACATCAGTGCTAAAGATTACTGCTTTAATCCCTACAGCTACTAAATGTCAAACATTTTCATTGCATTTAAAGAGCCTGTGACTGTGCAAGATGAGATGAAGTTACTTCACAGTTTTAAAATAAGACAATTGCAAGGCACAGCGAGCATCCATGTTCTCGGTGCCCAAGACTGCGATAATGGCAAGTTCTTCCATAACATCAGTCGGGAACTGTCATGCTTTTTCCACAGCCAAAATGTAGTGTTTTGTGGGCCACTACACATGCTTCTAAAATAAATATCTAACAATTATTTTATCCTCCCAAGTTCTAAGTGGCTCATAACAACTACAGTGAGCTAGGACACTGCTGTAAAGAAACTGCAAGAAAACTGCTCAGTCTCCACATTGCATAAATGAGAATTTAATTTTTTTTAAAAAGTTCAGTAATCCTATTTATTCCTTATTATTTGCAGGGAGAAGGCAGTTCAAATAAATTGTCCTAAAAGATACAAATATTAGAGGCATGAAGTTCTCTAAATAGATAAACTCCGAACATAAAGAATGAGGCCAAGAGTAGAAGAGGATATTGAAAAACTACTGGTTCTGAGTATTTCAATAAATATATATGAGCACATACAGTTCAAGACTACATAAATCACCCAATCAATCTTGTACCTTTAAGATCTTCCCATACTCACTAAGAAGCTTTGTCTCGATTGTCTTATTAGCAAAGTACTGATTCACAGCTCTCCATGACAAGATTTTTATTTCTAAATAGTATCAACTTTTACTTGAATGCCACACTTGAGTAAGTTTGTACTCTGAATACACACTGGCAAGTGGGATTTACTAGAATTATCAATTTGTACCCAAGCAATAGCAGTTTTCACACTACAGAGTAAGAAATTTAAAGACTAGGGAGCTTTTAACCTCAGAATTTTAAAATCATTTAACATCTCCCTACAGAAATATGGGAGCAGGGTGTGTGAGGTGGGGGAATTATCTATATACACACATACATAATTATGTGTATGTACACATACATCATTGATTCAAGAACAAACCTGGATTACAACAGACTACCTAACTTGGTTACCAGAACCAGAAGTGATCTGATTATCTAAACTAGTGCTAATCTTTTGTTGGGGGTGGGGGAGGTCTGCTAAATAGAAAAAAAAAAAAAGTGAGGGAAGCCACTTTACTAAGGAAAAAGGCCATCAATGTTCCGTTTTAGCCTGAAGTGGGAGTACATCATTCCTGAGATTCTTCCATACTAATTAACAAACTCACATGTTTTGAGTTTTAATCCAGAGTAAAGCTGTGAGAAGCAGAATTGGCAAGGCTGACTCATTACAAGAGTTTACAAATAAAATCCATATAAATCTTAAGTGTACCATTTTTAAGCTATTAAGCCCAATAATAGGTCAATTAACAGCTCTTATGCTATCTATACACATACTTATGAAAAGCTGACAGTAACTAGAACTATTATTTCGACAAGACAAGAAGTAGGAGGAGTTACTGCAGTAGGCAACCTTCCTCTGGAAGAAAATATAACCCAAATTGTGTGTCATCGCAAAACAGTCTTGATAAAGAAAGAACAAAAGCATTTCTGTAACATTCAATCACAGGACAACATAAATGGAATTAATCCCCAAAGCAAAGCATTTCTGTAAGGAAAAGAACTATAGACATCAACTGCTTAGACTTCAATAACCGCTTCATGCTGAGATAAGACATTTTTACTTAAACAATCTGAATTTATTAGGAATAAATCTCAAAACAGTAGCAATTATGGCAATAAGGAAATGAAAAAACAAACACACAAATCTCCAGGGATGATTTTTTTTTTACCTTACCTGCACTTGTTCTGTGGAGCTACTACTCAGTTCATCTCCAGATTCTGAATCTTGGTGAATTTTTTCTGAGCCTTCTCCTGCTGTTCTGCTGAATCACAAGATTGTTCATGCAAAAAGCTGGTCTTCTCTATTTCCAAGAACTCTTGACATGGGAAATGACCCATGGAGATGGTTCTATACTGATTGGAAACCTTGGGAGACTGCAACTCATTGTTAAGTTTCCCATTGTTTTGGGTAAGGTCCAGACTCAAACCAAGAGTTTGACCAGGGCTACTGTTTGGTCCCACATTCTGATTGGCATCTCGAAGGAAGCAAGACACTTGTACTGGAGAAGATTTTCCAAAACTAGAAAGCTCTGGTGATTTATTCACATTTTCTGTTGATCTCTGTAATCCATGTGTCAACTTCAAAGCGTTATTTGGCAGCATGCTTGCCTGCTTAACAGGTGGCATCAGCGCTTTTCGTGGTATTTCCTTCACATACTGTGCTGGCACATAAAAGGGTTTGGAATTTTCATCTTTTTTCACTTGCCACCAATCATCATTAGTCTTTTTCACCAAGATGTATTTCTCCCCTTGTTTAATCACAATTTTCTTGTCCTTGGCCTCATACTCATAGTCATACTCCACCTCAATATACAATTGTCCTGGGAGGATCTTCCCACTTTTATCAGCCATTTCTATTTGAAAATACTTCACCTTTTCAGGCAAAAAGTAAGCCACATTCTGTTTCAGAAGTGTTACTTTCCTAATAATAGTAAGAGCTGTAAGGAAAAAAATATAATAACAAATTAATTGTTGAAGAGCACTTCAGAGGACAATTAATTTCAAAAATAACCCTGCCTATTCAATTTATGTCAACCTCAGACGAAGTAACTGATGGAAAATGCAGGATTTGCAGATACCTTGCTCAGTGATAAAACAGCAAGTCAGTAGAACAACTTAGTCACTGATTTAACTCACCTATTCACACAAGCCTCCTGCTACCAAGTGGCTCATTAAGCCTGTTGTTTCTACTACTAAATGATGTTGATTGACCATGGGGGGGGGGGGGGGCTGGGGGGGGGGGGGGAGCTTGGGGTAGGGAGGGCTCAAGTCCATTGCTTGCTTACACACAGGCTTAATCTCTTCATGAAACTGTTACTACACTGGTTTTAATCTAAATATTCAAAAGGAGAAGATTATTATTTGCTTATTTTGATTCATCTTTCAGTTCAATAATCCCTTCAGAGTCCTCAAAATTCTTTATAAAATCCCTTAAACCTTCCTCCAATGGCACACCCCAGTGACCATGTTCAGCGTGGGCTGACAGTCCTTGACCGCAGGTGCTGCACGCCCTGCAGAGCCTGCTAACCTCCACCAAACTGGAGAAGATGAGGACTAGGGAGCTGTAGGACCCACGCTGTCTGATGCCTCAGATCATGTTGCTGCTGCATCTAGCTGTTGTCTATAAAACAGGTGGTACAATCAATTTTTTATTCATTTATTTAAATTTCTAGTACAACTGCAACATAGAATTTTATTTATAACCATGGTAGTATTAAATAAAAACATTCAACATTTCCAATATACTTTGGTTTCAGTGGTTTAAATTCTGCATAGATACTTTGCTCTTAAGAGAGCTTTTTTACCTTACAGAAAATCTGATCTAACCAAAAATTTAAAGCATAAAACAGAAAACACAAACAAAAAACCCAACGATAATGAAACAGGACTAGGAACCAAACCAAACCAAACAAACAAAAACCCCCAACAGATAATAAATGAAAAGATAATAGATGAAAAATCTGAAAAGGACTTTCAGCATCTTATAGTCCAGACAACCACCATTGTACCTCCACCCATAAACTACAAGTTTTCTCGATGTAATTGGGTAGCATCAACATCACAATTCATGAGTGGATAAGCATGAGTCTTGCCAACTTACACTGAACACAACATAGAAAATTAACATGAAAGATGGGATTCCTTAATCTTGGAAATCAAAGCATGTAAGTAAAGGGGAAGATCTCTAGCATTCAAATAGAATGTAGGAGAATTGCAAGTAAAATGCTGCCACATTTAATCTTATAAAGATTAACAAATAAACCTTTTTTTAAAAAATGCATGTTTCATGAATGATAAAAATTATGCAGAAACTTGCAACTTTGCAAGTTAAGACTTTGCTATGATACCTGAGCATTTACTCTGCCACAGAGTGGAACTAATGCAATTCCATGGAGGCACACACACCCAGAGTGAATCCAGCCATCCCAAACGAGACTAAGGACAGGAACAACAACAAAAAAGGACTTGGGGGAGAGCTGAAGCAGAAACCTCTAACAGTTCTTCCATTTGTCTTTCACTATTTCTGCTATTTGTTCTGAGCCTTGGAAAAAAAAAACCAAAACATTTCCCATATAACTCAGAAAAAGAAGGTTAAAAGCTCAAGTTTGATGCCAAGAAGCTTTAAACTATGTCTTTCTCTCTCCCACAGTCCATCTTCTTTTACTTCCAGGAAGCATTTCCTAAAGTAACTTGAAAGCTACCATCGTTTACAAAACTCCAAATGGAATCACAAGGTCAGACTTACAATTTTTTTGGAGGATCTGGCAGAAGGAATGATGGTACCACATTTAACAGAGCTGACAGTAGGAATATAAAGCAGTAGAAAAGAATGCATAAAAGATTCTGGTGTTTACTCTTTCTACCATAAAATGGTACATTGAAATTCACAGCATTACAGTCTGTTTATAGCCTCAGTACAAGATAACTTGCTTACCTGCTGTTCTACATAAACAGGTATTTTTAAGTGCAGTTCTGCAGTTGTTTAGCAACTGTAGCAGAAACATGAACAAACTGCAGCCATTCCCACTCTCTTCCTAGTCTTAGAAGCTCTGCCATACAAATGTTATTTTTCCCTTTTTACTAAACCTGACTCCTCCCAACACTTCTTCAACCCCTTTCACGGCTTCAAGGTCATATACAGAAAAATGCAAGTGTTGCTGAGTCACAGCCTACCTCTGAGGTCCGCTGCCTTGGAAGCTGAAGTGCAGAACGAGGACTCATTCACACTGGTTTTAGCCTGTGGTTTCCCACAAGGCTATCATGTCCATAAAAGCTTGGATTTTTCATTTCTCTTTTGCCAATTCTATATAACTATTTATTGAGAATGCATTAACATTCACAAAAATTAACTTTTTTTTTTTTTCCCCCCAAGACAGGTTCAATAAGTTGCATTTTATGCTTAAGAAAAACAGAATTTTGAGAAATACAAGTTAAATAAAATACAATAGCTACAAAAATAGCTCTATCCACTTTTAATGTCAGTTTTGCAACCTCAACTCTTTCTAAAAAAAAAAAAAAAAAAAAAAAAAAAGGAAGCAGCACAATTTTTTCATTCTTTCATCCAAGCTGCAAAATTATCAAGTTAATAGCAAACATTTGGTAATGCTGAACATAAGATCAAAAAGAGACAGCCTGTGTTCTGTGTTTGGCCAGAACACTAAAGCAGTTTTATAAACAGATCACATCATCAGGATCAAGCAAGGCTCTCATTCTCTGCCTCAGAGAGAAGCAAGAGATACCTTTGGTATAGGTGGGAAATCTTTCTCAGCAAGTTTAAAAAGTATCAACGTTAACCCTGAAGGTCTGCAAACAATGACCATGGCTGTGATTTCATGGGTCCCAATGCATTAAGTTTTATTTTGTTTGGGTTTTTTTAATGCAGCTGTTGTGCCACAGAAGGCAGACTGCCTGTACCCTCTGCACAGCCCAGGGGACAGGTAACTGTACTGTCCTTTCGAGGGTCCGTGTATCCGTCTCACAGACCTTGGGTTAAAGAGCCAGGGAAGCCTTGGCCAAACCTCTACTGTAAGGGGCTTGGAATAATTCAGATGTGAATACACAATATCGACATTTGGAGTACTGACTTCACTGTGCTACTCGTCAATAACTGCAGCGATATGGCAGGGCAGACCTTGTAACCCCTAAATAAAGAATAAATAATTTTATTCTTTTTCTTTACCATTACTGTAATGCCAGATGGCACCCACTTTGGAAAGAAGGCTGAAGAACCCTAATTACAAGATAATATGCAGGAAAAACTACTTACTTCCACGGAGGACACCTGTAATCTTTAATAACTTAAATAAAGTCTCAGTACCTGATTAAGAGATTAATAACAACAAATGGCCCCACAGACAACAAAGACCTAAGAAAACTTATTCCTGAATACCAAAAAACAGACTCGGGCCACACTTTTCTTCTGGTGAGGAAAAACCCCATTGCTACAGGGTAACTAATTTCAGGTGGGCCCCATCCCCACGTGGAAACACACTCCACCGTTCCAGGGAGCGTTCAGGGACACTGGTGACAGCGGCCTCGGCCCCGGGCAGCGAGCGGCTCGCTCACGCCACGGCCACGGCCACGGATCGATCTCCTCGGGCTCCGATTTCCGACGGGAACCCTGCCCATCTCTTACTCAGCTCAGGCTGACTAAGGCTGGCAGCCCTCGGTGGTTGCAGAGGTCAGCTCCTC